TTCTTGATGTGGAAGTTTTGATCACAGTATAGTAGATCGGGGGGAGGGTGTGGGGATCGTGTACGGTAGCTTGGGGGAATTCCCTTTGTTGAAGCAACCAGCCTCAGCGACCGGAGGATGATGTGGACATTCTATGGTAGGTTACTGTAGCTTTGATGGGCTATCAGACCTATCCATGAGACACCGGGATTGTTCCCTTGGTAGGGAAACGGACAGACCCCCGGGCAACCGAAGAAGAATCGATGGGAAAGCATAACCCCGCAAGAAGAACAAAAAGAAGGGAAATGAAAGTTCTACAGTTCACTTGCCAACTTCACTAAAACAACAATGAGCCAGAATGGGGACGGGGTATGTGTGTCCATGGAGGAGGAGGTGCTGGTGATCATAGCGATGATGATGACATGGATTGGATCCAACAAACTTATACAAACGGTACTGAAGATAGTTCTGACGACGCCTGGTTTGAGCCCGCGCGCGTGCACTTTATTTCTTGTCAATCCCGAAATTCTCTTCTTCTTGGTTCAATGGGCAGAAATAAAAGAATCTACACCAGTTCTTTCGCTCGTTGTTCTTTTTTGCATTCCATATACCTTGGGATCCGGTAATTCCCCCCCCATTCATCCTCTCATCACAAAACAAAGACATCAATTGGAAAACGATTTGGTCGAGAACACAAGCGGCCGATGGTTGTTCATGTTGATCGGCATTGATAGGCTTCTGAATGAGAGAGAGAGGGGAGGGGGCAGCAATGACGACTGGTCAAGAATGAACCGTAGAGGAAAGACACGACACGACACGACACGTTGTACTGAGATCTAATGGTGAGGAGGACCAGGGCCGTGTCTGGCTTTTGAGCCAGTTAAAAGAATATGGTAGTCGATGACGGCGATAGGTAACAGTGAGAAGTTCTTCCCGTCCTTCTCTGGGACGCGACCGCATGAATTGATTTGGTATGCGTTGTATGTATGGAGCAGGCTTTCTTCCATTACTGTATGTAGCATGATTACTGCCTACATACTGTATGTACTTACGGAGACAACGGGACCATACCGAAGTGAAATGCCAGTTTACGGGGCAGTAAGCAGCTGAAAAGAGGGTGCAAGAAAAAAAAAGAAGAGAAAAAAAAAAAAAAAACTCAGTCGGCTACTCCGCATTGTGGGTAAGCCGAGCGGTCGTCAAATGGCATTACGTTCTTATGAAGTTATGATATACATATGTACTACTTTTGGGCAGGAGGAGGAAAGAGGGTAGATCGATAGGGGAAAGTCGGTCGATTATTCAGTGAGGGGAGAGAGAAATCACATCAATAGTCAAGTCATAGAGGGCGCGGCTATCATACAATAGACAATGCGTGTGTCGCATATGGTAGACCGCTCTCAAGGGAGAACGAACTTCTTTTGGATGGGAATGATTCTGTTGCAGATGCTAGTAGCGCCAAATTAGAAAAAAAATCATTCCATATATGATTGGTTTCAAACTAATTTATCTTGACATTTGACATGGGTTTCAAGGTAGGTCTACTGTAACAAGAAGTTGGTCATCAAGACCGGTTGGAGCATCAAGATGAGAGGCCACGAAGGGAGAAGAGCAGCCGGGGCCAAGGACCGGAGGTGTTCCTGGCCTGAACCAGGGAGGGCAATGGCTGGCGAAGACTGGCTGGTGAGCACGGAGATCACCCCACCCACCAGTCCACCCAAGTCCCAAGGGAGCGCGGGTGCTGGGGAGGGGGAAGGGGGGAGTTGAGGACTGGTTGGTGTTGCAGGCTTAGGCTTATAGTACATGATAGTAGGCGTAGGCTTAGGCTACCTTTAGTGAGGGTGTGGTCCTTTTGGGGAGGCAAAAGGAATGGATGGCAGAGCGTGAGTGCAGTCTAGAAGCCGCCATCAAAGACAGATCATGTATCATCTTCTCTCCATACATACAGACTGCCCAGTATAAACAAAGACACTGCAGAGCATTGGAAGTAAACTCTCCACTTCTCCTCAGCTTGAGCTTGGTTGGCAACGTCAGAAAGACATGCAATTGCATGCTTATCATTATCGAATCGGTCGGTCAATAGGGAGCAAAAACAGCCAAAGAAGAATAATGATTGCACAGTAGCTACTCCGTACCGACTAAGTATCGACTACGAAGTAGTCTACCCCTCATGGACCAAGGCTGGCTCGGGGCTAACAAGAACTCGACCCGGACGGAGCATCCTTACGCGATGGACGGTACTTTACCGTGTTCACCCCAGAGAACCGGCAGAGACAAGAAGAGACAGGCAGACAAGGTATTTGACTTTCACTCATACAGTAAGGGTTGCTGCTAACTTCCTTGTGGCTCAGGCCGCATTGAAGGAGTAGGAGAGAATTGCCCTTAAGACGTCCTACCTAGTATAGTATCTGCATATGAGGGTTCCGGTTTGACCAACCTTTTGGTATGATCCAGTAATTTGCTGCAGCGACTACAGCAGCGCCCGCCGGCGCCCCCCCCCCCCCCCCAACCGACCTCCTTATGTCAGGCCTGTTCCACAACTACACTACTAGTTGGATCTGGATGGAAATTCTACTTGCGCCATACGTTTCACAGAAAACGCGAAGCATTTGGTCAATTTGATACTGAAGGCCAAAAGAAAGGGAATGGGGAGGGGGACATCCATTTCAGTATAACCAGCAAACTGCAACCAGCAACAAACCAAATGTACTGTACGTACAGTACAGACACTAACTACCACAATTCATGGGTCGAGTATGAATTAGAAGGATTGACATTTCCATGGCAAGAGTAAAATCAAGGCCAGCCAGCCAGTCCAGCCAGCCCAGCCCAGTCCACAGCCAACCTTCAACTGTGCCCGGCGGCGGTAAGGAAGAGGAGGAAGAGGTATTGTTGAAACCAGATGAAACCAGAACTGGTCTATCCATACATACTTTACTGTACACTGTACACATACTATACATACAGGACATACTGTACGGGTACCTCAAGCAGCCCGCAGCCCGCCCGTAACCCGCTCTTTGATGATAGTAACTTCCGGGACCTCGGGACACGGTACCAATTACCACGGTCGATACGTGAAAAGCGTCATGGTTTACCATACATCGTGGGCAAGCTAACCTGCAGCGATCCTCTCTCGAGAGACTTCTATCTCCGGGCCACTCGTCCCATCTCTTCTCGTTCTTCTCTTTTCTTTTCTTTCTACTACACCCGTCTGGAGAGAGAGAGAGCAATTCCTCCTCACTTTCCTCTCCTCCTAATTCTTCTTATCTTCACCTCTCCTCCCTTCCTTTCTTCTTCCTCCCTCCTCCTCCGTCGCCCCTTTTCCTGCCATCCCGTCAATCCATTTGGAGAGATCTGAGACTGGTCCCCAGGCCTAAGATCCGGTTGACTGCACTATAACAGTCAACTTCATCTGTCGCCCGTTGCACCAGCTCTCCAGTCGAGCCGTGTCCGTCAGCTCCTGCTTCGACGTCTTCTATCGACGTTTGTTAACTCAAACGGCGAATTCCTTTCCCCCTCCCCCCCACATCTGACATCCGGTGCCTACCCCCGTGACATCGACCGTTGGATTCCCCTGATTTCAGCTCCTGCCGGTTAGAAGAGCGAAGAGAAGGGTTCTTTTCTGTTCTTTTATCCGAAAGCTTTGTGTGTACATGCTTCTATTTTGGTTGTGATTTCCTCAAAGGTGAGGCGTCAAAAATTTTCCTTCTTCCCTCTCTCACTCCCCCCCTCATGCGATTGTCATGGCTGCGTTTGCATCCGATGGCAAGCCCATTGGTGGATGCTCGGATGAATTGTGGCCTCAATCCATTGTGAGCACGGCGAGATGTTCCTGTCGGTGCACGGTCAATACCTCTTGAAGTCGGTTCGTGTCAAGTCAGCAATTGCCCGCAGCGGATCTTCGAAAGTGTCACGTTTCGATCCCACGAGCACTGGACGGTCCAGGCTTGATCCTACTCCTCACACATGCGTCTCATCGATACTATTGAAGATTGGGTTGGATGGATGGGAGAGATGAACTGTGTCTTGGTAGAGGGTGGAGGACAATTGGTCGTTTAGTTAAGACAAGAGAGTCGTGCTGCAGAGGTTGAAGGGCCAGATTTACCCCCTCTGGGAGTGAACTTCAGTCAATTCAACTTGATGCTGGCCGGACGAGAAACGAGTTGGTCTATCAACTCGGTCCGAAATTAAGGGTTGCTCATGTGCTTGCGTGGGAATGTATAGGCCCTTTCCCGCATACTTGGAGGGGACGATCTCAAGCCTTCGACGACGCCGAGATATCCAAGCAATCTTACCACTGCAATTCTACATCGCAATCATGACAAGCAAACAAAGGCATTGTTTGAATCTGACGGCTAACTTGTTACTTTCTCCTTGCTAGGAAACAATTGTCTTTTCTTGATTAATTTTCGCTTTGGGCCTCGATATAGCCTCACTCCTTTCAATGTGGATTTTGGCTTTCTAGCGCTTTTCGCATCTCACAACTTCATTCTTGTCCTGCACAAAAACGTTCGAAAGGATACTGGATTGCCGACTGTACGTTGTGATCATTCTCATTGCACCTCGATTCCCCCCCCTGACGATCTCCCCACCCCTTCACAGGGTTCGTGCCTGTACTCCTGTTTCCACATTCCGGAGTGCCCATAGGCTTGCCAGTCCAAGAACCGGTTCCTAGGGCGAAGGCGTTCAGTCGCACTTCGTCTTTTGAATTGGCATCCTCCAGAGTTCATCTCGCCGGATCATTCTTGCGTCTTGGCCCTGCCTAGATGCCAGACACGCCTTCACGGTAAGGGTTGCATCGTGCCCTCTGCCCGAAGGCCTTCTATCTGGGTTAGTACCTTTTTATCCCCAGGGAGTCCCCCTTTTCACCCTCGACCTTTCTCTCTCTTCTTCCCTCCTTGGGCCTTCCTTTCCCAACTACAAGCCTTTCTTTAACATCTTATATTTCCTTTTACTTCTCTTTTTTTTGCATCACACACTCTTTTTCACCCTCCCGTCGTTCTTTTTCATTATCTCTCTTTTCTAATCCTAATATCACGTATACTAATTTTAACTTCATCTAGCTCCGGCCACTCGAAAAAGGCTTTCCACCAGCTGTCTGGCTATCCTTTCCCTTTCCAGTACTCGGACTATCGTCATCTTGCTGGACACTTTCTAATATTTCCAACTAATTCCGTTCATTAATCCCCACACCTAATTCGACGACTGTCACTCTCTGAACTCCGTCGTTCCCTGATAGACAAGACCATCTATCAGATCCACTCTTTACACTAATCATTCGGATCGTTATAATCACCACCAGTCCGACAATATGGCCTATCAAAAGCGTCCTGCCTCTAGCTATCAGCCTTGCGATACCTTCTTTGTGGAGTCGTATGACGACTTCCCGGCCCCTCGCATGGAACCAAAGGAGCATGCGAGACTGATTGCCCGAGAGCGTCAGTATGCCATTGCGGATGAACTTTCCAAGATCACCAGCGAAGAGTTCCGTGATGACATTCTGGCGCACATGCTGGACATGGATGTCAGTTGTCACTTGACTGGTTGTGAAACGATTGTGGCTAATCTTGACCTTTAACAGACCGCCACCCTCCCTGACGTTGAGTCGATCGATATCCAAACCGAGATTCAATGGTTCATGCGTCCCTACCTGCTCGATTTCCTGATTGAAGCCCATACCGCCTTTCAGCTGCTGCCGTCTACTCTCTTCCTGACCATTAACTTGCTCGACCGATACTGCTCGAAACGTGTCGTCTACAAGAGACACTACCAATTAGTCGGGTGTGCGGCTTTGCTCATTGCTGCCAAGTATGGTGACAAGAAGGATCGTGTTCCGACCATCAAGGAGCTCAAGTCGATGTGCTGCTCGCTTTACGACGATGACATGTTCATCCAGATGGAGTGGCATGTGCTGCAGACTTTGGGCTGGACTATCGGTCATCCCACGGTCGACAACTTCCTGCAAATGGCTGTCATGGATTGCCCTTATGACGCAGAGGTTGAGCACCTGTCTCTCTACATCGCGGAAATCTCCCTGTTCCATCGGGAATTTGTCTCCAAGCCTTCGTCCGATCTAGCCAGAGCCTCCTTGGCTCTTGCACGGTGCATCTTGAACCGAACTCAGCCTCGTCACACTGAGTGGGCTTCTCAATACGACTCAATGACACTAGTGGGATTGTCTCAGCAACTACACCAGCCCTCGCAGGTGCTCTCTAGGAAATACTCGTCGGCCCACTACTCGCGGGTGTCGAAGATCCTGGAGCAATTCCTCGCCCGCCAGGCCTCCGTCGCGAGCTACACGCCCCCTAGCCCGCCCTCCGATGTTGTTCCGGCCGAGTCTAAACCCTATGAAGGAGAGATTGGTCTTGCTACGCCCCAGAAGGCCCCGCAATCATCCACTATGGCTCACGGCTACATCACACCGCCAATTACTCCTGAAAACGAAGTCTTCGCCAACGGTGGTAATCCCACCTTTGCCAAAGGAGTAGCTGGCACTAGTGCCTGCTCACCGTCACCCACCCCCTCCCCTAGTGTACCATACACCAATGCTCCCAGCTACGCGCAGGAGGCTACATATCAACAACAATATCTCCAGCCTCAAATGTCTTTCAGCACCGGCTACTGAAGTTGACCTGGCTGAAAGCAATCTCCGTCGATAGTATATCATCACCTCGCTCGATACCTAGAATCAATGTGCCTTGCGCCTTGTGCCATATTTGCCGTCTCTGGTTCACGATCTACCCTCGATCCGACCACAATCAATCTGCTGAGAAGGATTGTCGTTATTTCATTATCCCCCTCCACTATCCTCTTCCTTTGTTCCGTGTCCAAAAAATTGCATACCCATCCTTCGATTCGCATACCATCTCTTGGGTCTCCCAAGTTGCATCTAGCTCGTTTGTCATCCTCTTCTATAACTAGCATTGCAAGCGCGAGCTGTTGAAATTTATTTGCATTTCACTGTGTTTTCTTTCTATTCCCCGCCTCGAAGACCCAGTTCAGCAACGCAGATCATTGATTCTCTGCGGTTGCGGGGCTCGACGCTGTTGTGCTTTTCCTCTTTTCTTCATTCTCCTCCACTTTACATTTGTCACTCGTAAAGAACATTAATGTGGCTCAAGCTCTGACCTCTCTTCCTCATTCGGGCGGGATCGTGCCCATGCTTTTGTTAGTATGACCGCCCGCTTTCTTTTTGTGATGTCGCTGGATGAAGGAAAGAGGTCCCTTTCCAACAGAAAAAAAAAAGCAGAAAAGAGCTCCCTGTCAAGTGCAAAACAAACCAGACACCCAAATATACATATCATATACAACAATAAAAAAACCACAAGACAAGGGAGTTCGCGAAACCCAAAAACAAACCACCACCACTACCCCATAGTTTTTGTGCTTTGAAATGCTTTTGGGGCGACTGCTTGCCCTATCTACACATAACTCCCAAATACCCTTGCTTGCACCTTTTACCTACAACATACACTCTACACACTTCCCCACAGACTATCTGCAGAACATACTAGCAAAGATGACAACAAGAGAGAAAAAGAAGAAGAGTGGCTAGATGGAGACAGATCTATTTGACGGAAAAATCACTTCCGCTTCCCATCGAATACTTTTCCCTTTTACTTTGTGCCTTTCGTGTCTTTGCGCGTGGTATGTCGGATGAAAATCTTCTATACATACTACATACCCATGATCATTCCCCGTACGAATAATTAAGCCGCGCTCGTAGACTCATTTCCCGTGGTTATTTGCGCCCCTTCACCGAGCGCAAGTACGGACTTGCTTTTTCTCTTGTTGAGGACGATCTCCATCTGTACCCTCCACATCCCGTACTTGCCCTATGTTTGTTGGGTATGGCATTGCTATGCCTGTTTTTGTTGGCGTGTTGGCAATTCGTCCGCGTATACCGCCCCCTCCCTCTCCCCCTCCCTGGACCTTTTCTGAGAATGCAAACGCCGGGAAACAGTGGTCCAAAGCTCGCTCTCCACATCGGCTGATTCTAGCAAGCGATCCCCCGTGGACAAAACCGAACGTTCGGTCTACCGACTATGCTACGACATCAACTAGAGCAAATGGATGGAAGTAAGGTGCCGAGATCGATTGATCATCATCGCTACATAGATCGATCACCACTTGACACGTGCGGAACCGAGGGTGGGATGGATATTTGAGAATCCTCGAATCCTACTAGTCTGAGGCAGTGGGACGAATGAATAATGATACAGGTATGGCAAGACAAGCTGACAAGCCAACACCACAAATCCATCGAGTGCCTGTTGCATGACCACGCTACCGTGATGATGGACTTGATATGTACGTACTACGACGAGGATCCGATAAAAGATTGAGTACATGGACTCCAAAGTACAGCACAGTGCAGTACAACTACAACAACAGTTGCACGTACACATAAGCAAGCAACAAGGTAGATAGGTAAGCATGAATCTTTCACTGCCCGCTCCGTCACGGGTCCCATCACCATTTACCCCAATCTTACTACGAGTACGTACAGCGGACACACTCATAAATCCCAGGGCGATGCTTCAGTGGCAACTGTCGAATCGACTGTATTCTGTGATGTACATACAGACAGACATACATAATACATCCGGGCCGCAACCCCGAATTTCTCAACGCTTGGGGAAAAGACGAATACTGCAGAAATGACAAGTGGCAGAGAACTCAAGACATCAAACGCCAGTTGTAATTTCCCTTTAAATATCTACCAGAACCCGATTGGTCAGAGGAGAAGATCGAACGAACCATGTTTCATGCAACAACAAAAAAGAAAAACGGCAACAAGAAAATTTAGAATAAAGGGACCCAGAACCTGCTGATTTCGGCTGAATACGGCATACAGATCGTGACGCATCAAAAGTCTCGTTGCAGTGTTCAAGCGTGGTGATAGAGGATGAATGATGATGATGGGTGAACCGTGATTTATCATAGCAAGGGGATGAAAAACAAAGTGGCGATTCTCGCATCGTCTTCATCGTCTTCCTTGTTTTCGTTCTGGAGTCATGAAAATCCTCCTCTCTTTAAGCAAATGAGTAGTGGCAGTTCTGGAACGACCGTACGGTTTTTTGGACCATGTATGGACAGTCTAAGGTCTGTCTGTCAAGGACGCGTGTTTCGGAGCATCGGCTCGCTATGCTGTCGATTCTGAGTAACATGAAAGATGACGAGCCTGGCATATCCGACATCTGCCAAGCCGAGGATCGGATGAATGGAGAGAGAAATGGGTCGGTAGAGCCAGGATCACTGCACTGCAGTGGGGTTCCTCAGGCTGGCGCCCGAATGTCGACGGGATAACTGTGGTGCACCTGCCGAATTGGCGGTGATACTGTGCTAGCCCAGCCGGTTGCCAAAGGCTGCACTGCCGATAGCGAATGATGGGCATTGGTCAGTTTTCGTGGTGTAGGGTCCGGGTATTTTGATGGTGACATATGGCGGATGATGATCGCTTGGCATGCAATTACCAGGACCTCTAGTAGCTTTGTGCCGAGACAATTGCAGGCTGCAGACGTTAGCATTGTAATCGAGTCAACGTACCAGTGCAGAAGAAGCAAGTATCGTCCAAGGTACAGATCCCTCGGCATTGTTACACAAGGGTGTAGTCTCTAGGCTTGGCGAGAACAAACGAACAAGCAAGGGACGACTTACAGGACTGCTGAGCATGCTGTTCCGCTTGTTCCGGCCCTTTTTAATATGGTTCTTCAAGGCCGTGGAATCCAACGGTTTCAAGAGTTCGAAGCTACACAGTAATTCACCTGAAACAGACATGATGGCTCCCCAGTTATCGAATTCACCGCAATACTAAATATATCCACAGTCAGTATCATGAAAAGCATTGACACAAATCGACTTCGAAATATACTCACGTTAGGCGCAGAGAAGACAGTAACCAGAATACGGTCCTGATAGAATTCATAGCCGTCCTCGACCACCATGTGCGCTCGACACACCAAATCAAAGTCATGCCGTTGCAGGAAATTCATGATGACCTGCTTGCCGAAGCAGTAGCTGACACCACGCTCGCTCGGTTCCCAGTCTTCCTCCATATCTGCTGGATCACTCCACAGAAGATCATTCAGCAGTCCATAGTCCGGTACGTCGGTCGGGCGGGCGATACCTCGGATGTCATCCATATGGGAAAGACTCGGCGACAGACCACCATGGACACAGAAGATCTTGCCAGCAACGATCGCAGCAATAGGGAGGCAGTTGAAAGTATCGATGAATGTTTTCCAAGTCTTGATGTTGCAACGCCGTTTGCACTCGTCATAAAATCCATACACGCGAGTGACGTTGGCACACTCATGGTTGCCACGCAGGAGGAAGAAGTTCTCGGGGTACTTGAGCTTATAGCAGAGCAGAAGCAGAATTGTTTCCAAGCTCTGCTTTCCACGATCCACATAGTCACCCAGGAAGAGGTAGTTTGAGGCAGGGGGAAACCCACACATCTCGAACAGCCTAATGAGATCGGTGTACTGACCATGGACATCTCCGACAATCTTGACGGGGGCCGACAGCTCCAGAAGAGCGGGCTGGGAGAGGAAGAGTTCCCGTGCGGCGCTGCAAATGGCCACGATCTCTGCATTCTTCAAGCAAACGGTCTTGGTAACCTTGGTCGAGTAGCCAGCATCCAGGAGTCGGGAGATCATGTCATCCAGGTCGATCGACTTCAAAGCACCCATTCCCATTCCCGGCGATCCAGATGTTTCGTTGTTCATCGGGGTGTTCATGATGAAGTCCAGAATCGGATTCAGCTGGTTCTCCCTCTTGATGAGAATCGATTCGCCAACTTTCTGTGTAGAAGGGCCCTTGGGGGCAACACCGGTCGGGGGAGCGTCTGACACGAGGTCAACTTCCCCACTCTGCTGCATCGCGTTCACATCTTTATGGCCTCTTTTCAGACTGGTGGACAGGGACGGCGACGGAGGAGGTTCCAATGAGTCGGTTTTGGAAGCGGCATCGTCAGCAGCAGGGGACTGAGGAGCGCTCAGGTTGGTAGAGCTGCGCCTACTTGCCGCGGATTTGATCGAGCCAGCATCCGACTTATCGGTCTGGCTTTCCGTCTGATACAGAGCAGATGTGGAGGCGCGGGGACTGTCGCTGCTACGAATCTTAGAGCGGATCGAGCCACGGAAGGAGCGAATGGATTCCTTGGTGTCAGAGCGAGAAAAGGATGGATACGATTGCAAAGAATCGCCAGGGCCATTATTGCCCTTGGAATGCGATTGACCCATTACTGCAACGGCAAAATATCTGCCAAGCTCAATCTCAGACGCCCGACGATGGATGGGGATTCAGCAGAGGAGCACCAAGCCCTGCTAGGTGCTGGAATGCTAGCAGGTGTCTTGGCCAAGTATACCTCCGAGGGTAGGTTTGGGAGTTATAAGGAAGAGGAAAATCTTTCGCTGATGGTGGAGTCGACAGGTCAGTAAATTGTCACGGGGGCAGTTGATGACCACAAGACACGGCGATGGGAAGCAGTAGTCGGAAACCGGGCACGATCGATGTTTGTACGGGGAATAAGGGATCCAGCCCTTCGAGGTGACGCGAAGGAAAAGGGGAGTCGAGTTTCGATTAATGGCGCAGAAGGAATTAGAGGCAGGAATGGATGGACATCGAGTTTGGGGGAGACGA